CAGCCCAGTGCCCTTTTCAGGTGCAGGCAAGAAAACAAAGTACAGATTGCCAGGAGAAGGAAGGAGGAAGGGGGGGGGGGGGAGGAGTGAGCGATAAGAAAGAAAAAAAAGAGCTTCCACCTCAAGGCAGCCTCGCTTCCTCTCCGTCTGTCCAAGAGGGGAATGAAAGTGCCCGAGTTCTCCCAGTCTACACATTGTAACAGTATCTGCCCCCAGGACGAAACCAACGGCAAAGGAACGGGAAACGGGGGGAGAGGCTAGAGAAGAAAGGCCGGCCAGCGGCTGCTAAAGCCCAGGGTCACTTCTTAATTTGACTAGGGGCTTTGAATCTTGATTCTGAGGCGACCCTTGCAGGATCCCCCACTGAAACCCCGAGTTTGGTCGTTGGCGAGGACTCAACTGAGCAGTCCCCCCCCGGCTGAAACGCCAGTGATGGGGATGGACCTTCCCGGAAAAAGGAAGTAGGCTTGTCACTTCCGGGTTTGGTCTCTCCGCGAGACCTTTGAGAAGAAACGAAGGGAAGGAGCGGACCGCAGCGCGGAGCTCCGGCTTCGATGTTGGGACGTTCCGGTCAAATCGTGCGGCTGTAGTGGGGGTGGGACTGCGTTTTTTTGGGGGAGCCAAAACAACAGCAGTGGCTGTTGTATTTGCAAGCGGGGCGGGGGGGGAGTCAGCGCGTTACGTGCGCACGACCACTGGGATCCACCTGCTTAGCTTTGCCTGAAAGAAGAGGGCCTGGATGGTGGCTTGCAAGGGAGACAGTGCCTCTGGAATTCAGCCAGACCTCCGATTTTGCAAGACCTTGAAAGTAGCAACAGTATGCGTACTTAAGGTACCCACGCATGTGCTTAGTTCTCGATACTGCATCTGTACACACCCACTATCTTGGACCGTAAACAAATTTTTATTGACTTTAAGTCAATGGGATATACATCCCATCTTTCCTTCAGAAGCCCAAGGTACATTATATTGGCATCTACCTTCTTTTACCAGCACAATAGCAATCCTTGAGCTGAGAAAGTAGCACAGTACGTTTCCATTACTGAGAGTGGAGTTCAATCTGGATCTTCCTAATCACTACTTTAATCACCACACTGCCTCCTCAGAGCTGGCCAAATATTTGTATCTCTGCCCTGGAGAGACTAAAAGATGTGAACTCCAGACTTATGTCCTAGAAGATGCTCAGCAGAATTCTCAGAGGCATATGAAAAATTTATATAAAATACTTGTTACTCGATACTACTGGCTATGATTCCTAAATCAAGCCTGTCTTTACTATGTTTAACTCACTTTTGGTGAAATGTGTGTGGTATGCATTGTGCCTTACATTAGGATTTCAGTTCAGTCCAACACCCCGTGACTAAATGTTTTGTTGTTTCAGAACTTAAAGGAACTTTTAGTAAATGAATTAATTACCCAACAATAGAATTATTGTAAACTATCTAGAAAGCAGCCATGTTTTAAGAAACTAGCATGCTGGTGTTCTTTAAGTAGGAAGTCCAATTACTATATTAAAATTAATGAGTACATTGGATGCAAATATGATTATTTTAATTTCTTAAATTTTCTGTTAAGCCTAGAGTGACTCCTACTGGCATGTGTTGATCCCTTAATAAACTTTTGACTTGCAAAAGAAGGTCCCAGATGCTTATATTCCTTTCATTGTTACAATAAATGTTTCTTACTTGTGAATCTGAAGATGGCTACTAGCACAGCGCTATCACGTTTTTCAAATATTTCTCTCTTCCATGAGGGTTCTATAACACCATTAAATCCAAGGGATTTATTCTTAGGTAGTATTATTTAAATGTAGTCTTTGTAGTCAAAATCTAGGTTTTAACAAAAGCAGAAGCATTGGATAAATTGAAAATACAATGAGCATTTTCTTTCAATAATAAAATTATACGAAGAGACAAAAACCTGCTATTGTTAATTTTCCACTTAGTTATTTGCAGTCTGTATGTGATCACCTCTTGCCATGTTACTTCTGAATTTGTAAGAAAAGGTGTCCTGCATAGCAAAATTATTTCTTCAACATTTATTATGTGTTTGATTTAATATATCTGTTTGATTTAATGTAGAAAAGAACAGCTGTAGTGACTTGAATGTTTAAAGCACTTGTTGAAATTATAGCTTTGGAGTCCCTACACATAAAGCATAGCTCAATTTGTTGTCCAGCCTGAACAGTCTGAGAAATAAAATCCACAGGGTTATTGCTTTTAGGAAAATTTCAAAGCTGGGTTTCCCTGGGGTTTTTCATACACTTTTAATGGTTGCTAAAACAATTGCTTAACCTCAGCTGCTCCTTGGTTAAAGGTGACCTGCGATATAAGAGCTGCATTGGTAACTGAAAGCTATAGCTCCTTGACTAACTTCAAATATATTTACAAATATTTAAAGATATTTTTAATAGGCAAAAAATTCAAAAGACTTCAAGTAAAATAAATAGAGATTGGGGAAAAAAGAAAAATAGAATCCTTGGCCTTTTCTCTTGTGATCCATTTAACGAAGCAAGATTCAGTCCAGAGACAGAAGACACATATCTTAACAGTTGTAAAAGCAATTCCAGCATCCCAGGTTTAAAACAATGAAGCTGAAATTTATAGTTAGCATCTTTAATGATGCATATGTTCGTAAGTACATAGTATCACAGAATAACAAACTGCATTAATTTTGGTGCGTTGCATAGTTGCCTGTTTGTGAAATTATATTTTAAAGGGTTTATTTTTTTAAGACACCCCAGATAACTCCAATAAGGCAGCTTTTCCCAACAATATGATGACATTCATTTATTTATTATATATACCTCCCTCCTCAAAGAATCCCTTCCTTCCTGAGAAGCATATATTAAAACAAAACCTAACCATAAACACAATACAGTTACCATATTGAAACTACATCTTAAGTAGAAATACATATAAAAGCACAAAACCAATTTCAGAGACAATATCAAAAGACCTGGAAAATTGGAATTACTTTCATCTGGTAAAATAGGACCTGAATATGTTGTCTAGGAAGGGCATTTCCTAGTCAGGATGTCACTGTTGAGACTATCTGCTACACCGTGGATGACGGGTACAAATATAATCTTCATGTATAGAAAAATTAATATATATCTGCTAATGTAGCTATAGATGATCCTTCAAATATTCTAAATTGCAAACAACTTTGAAAAGAAGCACCAGTATATTGAATTATAGACAAGAAATTGACTGGAAGACATTTCAATTGCTTAATCTTAAACACTGGCAAGAAGTGGTCTCCCAGCATGTTAGTCTCAGCAGCCCAACATCTATATTTCAAATTGCAATTTCTGGGTAGTCTTAAAAGGTAACTCCATGTATAAAATGTTCCAGCTGTAGCCTAGAGATTACAAGATGGATAATTGTAGATAGGTAATCGGTCCTAAAAATGTTGCCTCTGGCAAATTAATCTGTTGATAGCCAGTATGACATGGAGGCCGTGTATATTGTCACTAATAGATAGCTCTGCAGTGCACAGTAATTACCATTCTTTGCTTTTCTGTAGTACATTCCAGATGATGTGAACCAACCTACAGAGATTTAGAACATTCAATAGCTAACATGATTCCCCCCAAATCCATCCTCTAGCATTGGTGATTATCACAATGAGCATGATTAGTGCTGAATCAGAAGCAGGCTTGAAACTCTTGAAATGGATTCTCTAGAATGTCTGAATTTTATCTGCAGCAATATCTGGCAAAACACCTTTATAGGAAAAGAGTATTTCCTATAAGCCAACAGTTAGTAGAGTCATCCATGTCAAGGAAAGGTTAACCTTTAAAGACCTGCTATAATAATTCCTCCTTGCAGACAGTTAGGACACCCTTCTCTTACAGAGGCATTTATTATTTTCCTGATAAATCTGAAGGAATTGGCCAGCTGTTATCTGTTGAGCTTATCCATTTGGGTTTCAATAATGCAAGGCCCTTTCTTCTATGACTATGACTAAACCAAGAATGATAAATATTTTTGAATAGCTATTGCTTTGTAAATCCAAATGAAAACAGACATACATTCCAATTTCCTTCATTTTTCCAAATGCTTCCATTTAGATTTCTAAATATGTATTTCTATACACCCTTTTTCGTAGAAAATGCATTCCTGCACCTCATGATTCTGGTTCTTTATCTGACAGCTTCTCTCTGTGTCACATCTCAAGAGTATATCATGCTTTGTAGGGCTGTCTAAAAAATCAGTTAAAAAACAGGTATATATAGTCTATATCTACACAAAAAGCAAATATGTACATATATTCACAACAATCTGCAGTTACAGGCGGCAGAACATGAATCATTGCTTGATAAAGATTAGATTTGCACATCTAAGTGTAGTTTTGGCTTCACATATTGTATGAACTCAGCCAATTCTGGTTTAACAAGTAATTTAAATAATTATTAAATAAATGATCAGATTCATTCCAGTGTTAATGGTTTGCCAATTACAGGCTAAATATTTACTCAGACCTAAAATACCAGAAATATTAGGAACCAGGGTTAAAGAGATTTACAGTTCTTTGAAAAAAAATTATATGTGTCACATTTATAATCTCTGTTATTTATCAATCTCAAAGCAGTTCAAACAACTGCAATTAAATAAACTTACTAATCTTAAATTGGGACTGGTAGCTAATATGTTTTGTACCAATCATAACAAGGAGAGAGCTCCACAGCTGGGATGTATGGATAATATGTATATTTCATTCATTCATTCATTCATTCATTCATTCAAATAAATAAATAAATAAATAAATAAATATTGAGAATGTCCTCAGTGCACAAGTGCTCACTTGTGACATTTAACACAGCAAGCCTGTTGATTTGCATCATGATAATATGAGAAGCTATTTCACAATCCAGAAAAATAAAAAGGAAAAAGGAAATTATACATCTTACTGCCAAACCTTTCATTTAAAATTTCTCTAGATTGCATGCATACAGCAGTGTTATACAACAGTGATAATAAATACCTTGAAACATTGGCCAAAGTTAAACAATTTGTAAATGAAAAGGATATTTTTATTAAAAGAAAGTGCTATGGCTTTTTCAAGCCAGGTATGTATTTTTCTACAGCTGAAGAATGAGGAGGATAGGAACAGGAGCTAAAGTATGGATCAAAACAATTGTACCCAAGTGTTGTTTACAAAAATATTCAAAAACAAGTATTCAAGTCCTGAATACAAAATATTCAAGTACAAATAATTCCTACAGAAATGCCGAGTATCATCCTCAACATTTCCTCTAGAGGCTAATAATAGTGTAGTGCCATTCTGTACAGCTGACATTTCAAAGTAATAGGGTATTTAGAGAGCAGGTGATACTTACCCAGTAGTTATGGAAGATGGAGACTATCCAAGGAACAAATATGTTTCCTGGAACAAGTCCTTAAAATACAAATTATTACAGGCCACCCAGAGTTGTTTTAAGATGGGTGACCATACAAATCTTTTAAATAAATAAATAAATAATACATTGGAGGTGGTCTGAGCATTTTCTAAGAAATAATTCACATAACACAGTATGAAACACTCATCAGTTATTCTCCTTAGTGTGGTAAATATTTATATTCAGCAAAAACAAACAGAACTTATTTGAGAGAGTGAACTCTGGCCTGTGAACCATTCCTAACACATAGTAAGTTATCCAAACAAACTGGGGTGACACAGAATTTCTACTTTGGATGTTGTAAAGTGAACCCAGAACAGAGGTTAGTACAGAGAATTGTAGGATAGAATAAGGTAGTAGAAGAAATTCCTACAATTCTCATACTTCAGATGAAATTAAAATATACTAATTGAGTAGGCAGAGTACAGTTGCATTCTGTACTAATATGATAGACTGCCTTCTTGCATAACTAAAGTACCTTACTGAAAACAATTTGAAAATATATATGATTGTCAGCCTCACTGACATGAAATCAGCTCCACAGGATGGCTACAACTACTTTTACTGAGATTGGCTATAATAACAGATTCTTGCAAGTCTGATTGTGCTGTACTTCCTCTTCCTTCTCATAGTTCAGTGAGTTAGGGAAGTGTCTATCCAAGCCGCTTTTGAATGTTATCTGGACATTCTGAACTTAAAAAATGCTTTAGCCCCTTTTGCCTAGGCAACAGCACCTGTATATCTCTGTCAAAGTCATCTCCCTTACCCTCTACAATGTTTGTTTGGACCTGAGGGAGGAAAAAAAAAGCTTCACTCCCTCACACTATTTGTATCATCTCAACAACATTAAAAGCTTGCAAAAAATTAATAAAATATTTCCAGGGTTGTCAGATGTGGATACATGTATTCATTGTTAGTTTTCTGAAATTAAAATTGAATATCTCATAAATTTCCAAAGAAGCTGTTTTTCACTATTGGTCCTTCATTCCACAATTAGATCCTTGCTGACAGATAAGAAACAGTCCAAATGCCATTGTAAAGACTGTCTTGAAGCATCTGTTATTCATACTGAATATTTTTTAATGCTAGAAACTAAGCTGTGCAAACCAATGAAGACACATCAAGTATTGAAAAGAAAGCAGTTAAAAGTATGCACTGTGCAACTAATATCCTCATAAAATTTAATTTACAAATGTGCCACAAACATGTTTAAGACTTCAATTTCTGATTTCTCTGAAACCAATGGGAAAAAAAGAAAAGAAAGAAAACTAGCATTAATGCTATTATGTGGTGCTAATCAGTCTTCTGCATATACTGAAGCTATGAGCCACCTGTGTCAGGCAACCATTCCAGCTGGCTGCCTCAGAGAGAAACACTGAAGTCCTCATTTGCCTAACTAGGATCGGATGATGCTTGACCCATCTCTCTTTTAAAACGATCTCCTGAAATGGTACTTAGGTACATTTAATATACAATCATCTGTATAGAGTTTTTCTCAGTTTGGTCTTCTTATTCCCCCTTTATTTCTTACAAGTTACTATGATAGGAATATGTTTATATTGTTTTGAAGACACTTACTTTACCTATTGGAACAGAACCATTTTTCCATCCTTTAGGTAACAAGTTATACCTACAGCTTCAATTCATTTTTTAAAAAATATTCAGTTATCTAACAAGTTATATCAAGCAACCTAGCACATTTGTAATTAAATTGTCTTAAGGAACTGTTTTATCTTAAGGAATTGCATCACCAGCTAAAATGATAAACCAATTCCTTTACAGGATTTATATATAGCCAACATTCTAAACTCCCATTTCCCACAATTAAATATCTTGTATTTCCAAGAGAAAATACACTATTTAATTATCATGCCAATTTAATCTTGAAAATTATACACCTGTAACAAAATTTACTTCAAAGAAACCAAACATATAGACAGCTGTCAAATTTCTACAATTTGGATTTCACTTTTTAATCGAGTTGTGTGGTAAAATCCAAAATTCACAAAAGGAGATCTTCATCCCAAAGTTTATCAAAAATAGATGACTATGTTTTTTGTAAAACCAAGGCAGTCACACTATTTCCAGTTCTTCCTCCAAAACAGAAGGTTGGTGTTGGCAGTTCCTCCAGAAGTAGAAACCCTATTAAGTATAAGGAAAAAGTTGCTATTAAGAAGAAGTCTTGCTAAACAACCCTTTAAATTCTGATATTAATTCAAATTGAATGCACACAATACAGAAAATTCTGCAAATTTTAGAAGAGTGGTTATTTTATAGTATTGATCAATATAAACTGCACACAAATAAAATGTTACCAATGATAGTAAATGCAGTTTCAGCAAGTAAACACATGAAATTATTTCTCTTGGAGCCAGTAAACAGTTACTATAAAACCAAAAATTATTTAGTTTTTATTTATTTATTTAATTTCTATAGCCACCCACCTCAATAAGTGACTCTGGGGGGTAAAACTGTATTTACCGTAACATCTGAAAGCTTAGCCTTGGTTTTAACTGTTTGAACCTTATGCCAACAGTAACCTTTTTGCATTCTATTTCTGTCTTTATCAAGTGATAAAGAGAAAGAAATATGATATAGTGAGAAAATGAAGTAAAAAGGGGTCACAGAGAATATGGGGTAGTGCCATTTTGTTAATAGGAATGTGCACAGCATCTTATTTTCAAGTATTCAAATAGCAATGTGCAATATGGATTATTAAACCAGCCATTGAATATGTTAACAAACTGAACTCTATTTTTTTGCTTAGTAAGCCTTCCAACTACCCTAATTCTGTCTCATATATGAAAGGTTAATGACCAAGGCTCAGACACTTTGATTTAACACAGAACTGCAGATACTTTACACACTACTGCAAATCACAAATATTTTCCCTGCCAGAGCCAAACTGCTGTTCAGTTAAAAAGCAGGTTATTTTTGGCATTATGGAAGCAACTAAAGTAGAAAGCAATGCTTTTAAGATTGCTAACATCCTTTCTTTGATTCATGACTATAATATTTCAGTACTGTATTATAATAATTAAAAATGTCACAGAGACAACCAATAACATAAATGAGTTTAAAAAGGCAAATATACAGTACATCCTTCATCTTTCAGTAACCTATATATTTTGAGGGCAACGTATCAGCTGCAGCATACTTCAACTAAAGTTAAGGAACTTGGAAATCAATTAAGGCGTTTATAGCTTATACTGAACTTCAGGTCATCAGCACAGCCTTTCAGAATAAGGGTTTAATCGGCCTTAATCATACAAATTCAAATGAAACTGAGCATAAGAATGCTCACCAGTGATTTAATATCCAAAATTCAACTAATTCATTGCTCAGACAGGAGTTACTGTGCTTTCCATGAAAGGCATAAAAAGCAAAGCCACATTTTCAGTTAGGTACATACAATTCCAAACTTAGCAAGCACCTTCTTCAAATTGTTTGCACAGCTCTTCTTTAGTCCAGTTACAAGACGTTATAAGGAAAAAGCCATTGGATCTCAACACCCTCTGCAGGGATTTAACATACTGTTTCCTTTTCTCTGCTGCACCATCTGAGTTCAGACTGATAGCATCAAAAGTCCCTTTATCAATGCAGATCTGAAAAGTTGGTAATTCATCCGAAGGATTTAAAATGTCTTCTACCTATAGAAGATAGATATAACTGTTAAATGTAAGAACATGTTAATGCCATTGTTACTTTTTAAAAAATAAGCAGAACTACATTGCCTTCAGGCCCAGAATAATAGTTTAACTGCACATTAATCATCTATTTTTGTATGTTTTATGAGACTGATTTTTACTTCTTTCAACCCAGTATAAATGGGTCCTCTTTATTTGTGCATTAGCATAGAGAACCGTCCCTCAGCACCTGAAAACTGAACAGAATGGGACCAAATGGTGTGAGGAGGGAAGCCAGCAAAAGAAAAATTGAGTTTGAAAATGTTCCAGATGAGAAAAACTCCCCCAATGCATACTTATGGGAGAGCAGTGGCTTGTATTGCCAAGTCTTCTATTCTAGGTATGTTTCCCTCCTCCTTCAGAATCACATGCAGCTCATCCTGTGCTTCCCAGAGCAGACAAACATCTACTTCTGGTAATGGGGTAGGGATTCCAGAATGCATTTACTCAGAAGTGAACCCTACTGAATTCAGTAGGACTTATGGCTTGGTGTCATACAGGACTGCAACCTTAAAAAGTTATTCTTCAGGAAATCACATTTCTTTAAAACAGCTGGCAACTCTATTTCATTTGGTAAGAGCACCCCTATCTTGATACGTGAGCATCTTTCTTGCTCTTGATCACACTCCGAATTGCATTTTGCGTGTACACTGAGGTTCCTTGTTGCAATGATTTGTAATTAACCCCTTGATGAACATGCCTGGGGACCTATATATAGCCAGTAGGAATGAATAAAAGAAGGAAGGAATACATTTTAACTTGGTTCAGATTGACTGAAATGTTTGCACTGGGGTGCAATAGAGGAAATCTACCAATATCAAGAGAGTTTTTAATAAACCTCAATCAGGTCAGTCCTCAATCATTTGTTTCTTATACTATATATCCCCAAATCTTCCCACTTCTTTTCTGCATTTGCCCATCACAAAAGCTTACCAGCAACTTAATATAAGGCAGCCCTTCTTTTTCCATTATATTTTTTGAAAGTTGCACTGCAGAAGGAGAGTAGTCAACTCCTGTAAGATTGGTATAACCAGATTTACCCTAAAGAGAAGAAAAATTCACTGAGCGCTAAACATGTTTCCTTTGTTTTCTAGTTGGCTTTCATGATATATTTGTTAGAGTTAACATAGGGAGAACTAAAATATAACTATGCCAGCAAGCTACACCAACTTATAGAAAAAAACAGTAAGATATTGTTAACTACAGAACATATTTTTCAAGAAAAACTGCAAGACTTCATTTACTGGGTGTAGACACTTTCCTAATTTCAGTTCCTAGTAATCAGTGAAAAGATTCCAGTTTACACTGCATTAAACACAGCTGTTAAAGTCACACAGAAGCTACACTGTTACAGTGGAAGTAGCATGAAATCAAATTTTCATATTTCTAATACTTCCTTTTTTGACCAGCCTTTCTAACAAATAAGTACTTAGATACTAAATATAAAAATAAATCACACATCAGATTTCTAAGAGAGATATACAGGTTCTGATTTCCTGCTATTTAGTCATGTAAATAAATTCATTTATTTATGTAACACATGAACTCATTTATGGTTGCTCTATGATTAAAGGGCTTGGACACTTTGGCAAGGGCAGAACGGTTATTTATTCTTTTAAAACTTGAGATAGGACATATTTGTCTCAAATATGAGCACACCTTAGCTAAAACAATACATTGCAAACTCAGTAACTACTATATTGAGAAAATAAAACTGGTTGCCATGCAGTAGGGACTGTATGTCAAGAAATGAAGCAATATTAGGACTTCATGGGTATAACTGGAAATTCAGTGGCAGCTTTTCAGTAAATTTCACAAATTCCTTAATTTATATTGTATTTTGATATTTAACACTCCTTCTTCTGATTGTAACACTGAACGTTTAAGCCAGGATTCTTATACAACTGAACTTTGATGAAACTGGATGTCCTCCTGCTCAATGTGAAAATTAAAAAAAAAAAAATCATATCATGAACATAGACCATTGCAGTATGAGTATATTCTATGTGTAATTGTTCTGGCAATTTAATTAAAGTTTCTTACTTGCTCAATTTCTGCTGTAAGCATTTTGCATCAGAAAGCACTAATATTACAAATACCAACCAATTCAACCAGCAAAATGCCGTTTCCTGTTCCAATGTCAAGCACAGAACTGTCCAGGGGTATCTTTTGTTTCTCTAGCCATCTAATTATACGAGTCATGCTCTCTTCACCAAACCTAATTAGAAAGAGAGGTTCAGGTAACTTGCTCCATTAGGCTATACAAAAGGAAGACAAACACATTTTGTCAATCTCATGCAGTGTAACTACATGATGTCACCATTAAGACATCAATCTCCAGAGTTCGCATTACAGGTTTGTTTAGCTTACTGTTTTAAGTGAATGGATAACTCTGAAACTATTGGATTAACATTGCAGAAGATGAGAGATTGTCATTTTTACATATACACAGTATATGTTCAAGGCTGCAATGCATCTTTGCCTGTGCCTCTTATTTAATTTTTGAAAAACATCAAGGATATGACTACTTGGCCTCTACCAAGTACATTGTAGCCAGTAATTCATTTTTCCCACCTAAAAACAGACATCAGATGATAATTAGCTATTTTAATTTGCAGCAGGTTTAGCCAAGAAAAGAGTTAGCATTTAAAAAAACAACAACAAAAGAACCCAGAACATCACATTACCAGTACTCTGAGCAAAATAGCTGCGCTTTTAGAAATAAAATAAAGCACAAACACGTATTGAAGTATGTTACATGGTTAGAGATACTTGCCAAATGTCCCCAGTATCACCACTTTCTTTAAAATTATGCAGTTCTCGTTCATATGCTGCATCCCAGCTATACAGGAGAAAAGAATAAGGATGACAGTAAACACTTGGCATTTGTTTTTCTCCCAGCTGTGAAAAGAAACTACTTAAGAAATAATGGCAGCCCCTCTTTCCAGAAGAAACACAAACTCATCATTTATCTTCCATATCCTTAGAACCAATTCTCTATTGATCAAATGGGAAGAGGCTACAAACCTGGGAATAAGCCTCACCAAGCACAGAAAGACTCATCAATACGCATACATAAAATTGCACAGCACAATCCTTAACAATTGTACTGTTGTTATAATTATTTTTTTTTTCAAAACAGCTTATTTTCTAAAGCCCACTACTGGGTACCAAGCAAGCAATCTGTGAAAGATTATTCCAACTTCAGGGAAAAAGCACCCAACCTTCCTCCAGGCACTTTTTCCAGCAGGTGCACTTGGAAGCTATGTGCACAAAACACCAATTTGCTGTGGAGAAAATAGGAGGCAGGAGTATGTTGTTTGCCTTGAGTTATATATATAAAAAAGGTGGAATAAAAATCTAATAATAAAAAGAAAAATAATCCCCATGGCTAATTTAATCAAGTTCGTGTGATCACTTAGTGAAATATTCAGTGTTCACGAAACACACTGAATCAACTGACCACATAGGTGGATTCAGCAGAGTTGTATAGTTTGTGATTCCATGTGTTCTGCCAACAGAGCTGCTCTCTGAAAATGGAAATGCCCTGAAAAGAGCTTTAATCATGCTTTTACTAGGCAGGCAGGTCTATGTGGATGGCTAGATTGCAAAACCTACAATGATCAAAGCTTTTTCTTTTAACTTTTAACATTCTGTAAGACAAGAAACAAGAATAAATGGTAACATCCAATAACAGTGTATCTCAAAATTCAGTCATGGTCCCCATATATCACTACATTTTTGAGCTATTCTTTTTAACATACAGTATATAATATTTCCAGATGGAACAAAAATGGATTCATCTCTCTTAGAACAATAAAAGGTTTAAAGCTAGCACCTTCAACTGGACCCAAACTGGTAAAGCTGTTTTATAACTGGTGAGCTGTATTACAACAAATCACTTCTACCCAGAATGTCATTGAATTTACTTCATTGTGGCAACTGGCATTAGGGGACAACAGTAATGCCAAGCAATAGTAACAGTTTAAGGAAAACGTGAAATTTATTTTCTCCTTCATGATCATGGTATCTCCCTTGCCAGGTAAGTTTCTCACCTTTCATATGCAACCTCCGCTTCACACCAAGATCAAGCAGCAAAGAAAAGACTAAAGACTTTCCACTGTTTCTACTGTTTTAAACCCTCTGTAAGCTGTCCTGAGTCAATAGCAAGTGGGTGGTCTTAGAAATGGATTAAATAAATAAATCAACAGCAGCTAACTATGACAAGTGTCAGAGGGAATTGCTGGTTGCCCCAAATGTGGCTTTGTACATTTTTGATTAGCAGTGCAATAACAACAACAACAACAATAATAATAATTTATTAAATTTATATGCCAGCTGACTCCCAGCAACTCTGGGTAGTGGTCCTATACCCACAAGCCATATAATTGGAGGGGGCTCTGCCTAATGCAGGAATCCATTCTTGACTGTCCATAACAGGCTTTGTTTGAAAATTTACAATGAAGAGCCTACCAGTCCTCTAAGATTAATTCATTTTAGTGTCACAGCGTTTATCATTTCTCTTAACATTTAGTTCTGCCTTCTGGAACAGGAGAATAAGGATTTATTACCTTCTAAGTCTTCTAAGCATCTGAAGAATGCTATAACTCCCCATCTGGTTTTCTTCTTCATCTTAAATATATATCTACTCATTTCAATTTTTTGCTTAGATAATATTTTCATATTGTTGACTATTTTCATTGACCTCCTCATCTGTTTCAATTTGTCTTTATCCTTCCTTAAAAATCCACATGTTCTAGCAATGAATGTAGGTCCAAGGCTATCAACTTTTATCAACTTGTGAAAATCTTTCACAGCATTTAGTCAATAAAGTTGCTGGGATCTGTTATGTGTTAGACTCCAGCTATGCAGATTCAATGGAGTTGACTGAAACACAGTCTTGCCCAGTTATCTGGGATGATTTTGAGTCTGTTAGACCTGAGAAAGTAGACAGGGTGCCCTATCCATGCCCTTCCTGGCTGATCAAGACTTCCAGTGACATGTCATATGATTGGATCCATTTGGTAGTAAACAATCCTTGAGAGAAGGAGATAATCCTGCTGGCTCTTGAGGAAATGGTGGTCTGCCCCCTCCTCAAGAAGCCATCACTGGATCCAATGATGGCTCATTTTCATCCCATCTCCAACTTCCCCTATTTTGGCTTGGAGCTCCAAAGGGCCCTGGAGGAAATGGATTATCAGTACCTCTTTCAGTCTGATTTAGACTGGGACTTAATACTGAGACAACATCCACTGCACTTGTCCATATCCTATGGTGGGCTCAAGGTGGGGGTATTGCATCCATCCTGGCCCTTCTTGATCTTCCAACAGCATTCAGTATCATCAACCATGGCATCCTTCTGGACCAGCTCAGCAGACTGGGAATGGGAGGTACAATGTTGTCGTGGTTCTCCTTCCTCCAAGGTCAGCTGCATTTGGTATGGAGGAAGGCAGAAAGATCTATCCCTACACCCCTGCTATGTGGAGTGCCTTAGCACTCTATTCTCAATCTGATTTTGTTTAACATCTGCATGAAGCCACTGGGTGAGCTCATCTGTTGGCCAGGTGAAGTATCATCAGTTTGCTGATGATATTTAACTGTATATATCCACCTTGGGCCAACCAGCTAATGCAGTCAAGGTCCTCTCCCAGGGTCTGGAGACTGTGGTGGTCTGGATAGGGAAGAACAGGCTTTGACTCAATCCCAACAAGGCACAGTAGCTATGGGGTTTGGGCCCTTCTGAACCTGGGATTGGAGATTTTACCTCAATGGTTCTAGAGGGGGTTGCATTCTCCTATTACACACAACTGATGCACAATTTGGGGGTCCTCCTAGAATCACAGCTCCTGTTCAAAAAGTAGGCGGCAACAGTGGCCAGGAGGGCCTTTGTACAAATCTATCTTGTGTGCCAATTGCACAGTCCCTGGATCAGAAGGCCCTGTTTGCAGGCATTCATGCCTTAGTCACCTCCTGGTTGGACTACTGCAACATGTTCTACATGGGGCTCCTCTTTAAGACTGTCCAGAAGCTGCAGCTGGTCCAGAATGCAACAACACAGGTAGTTATGGGTGCACCATGGCATAACTATGTAACATTACTACTTTGCAAGCTGTACTGGCTCCTTATAGGCAATTCAAGGTTTTGGTTATCACCAACAAAGCCCTACATGGCACAGGACCAGGTTATTGGCAGGACCACCTTTCTTCTGGTTATTTCTGCCTATACCACACACTCTCACAGGATAGGTATGCTCTAGGTTCTCTCCTTCAGGCAATGTCATCTGACATGCCTTTTTTGCTGTTACAGCAAGTGTACTTTGGAACAATCTTACCTCCCTCCTCCCCAGAGATTCAGATGGCCCCAACCCTCTTAGCCTTCAAGAAAGCTTCGGGCCATGAGGAGAGATAAACTTATTTTCTGGAAGGTGGAATATATGATTGGTCAGCTCAGCTGTATGTTGGTTGATATACAAAACAAAACAAAACCCAAAATATATAAATCAACATACTGGTTGATACAATATGTTGATTTATATATTCTGAGTTTTTTTGTTTTGTTTTGTTGATGCTGTATGCTTTTTTATTTGCAATACTGTTGCTGAAGGTTATCTGATGTAAGCCACCCAGAGTTACAATTACACAAGTTGAACAACTATATACATCTTCCAAATCAATACACCTAGTGGTTGTAAACACACACACAACTTCCTTAAATCAATTCATGCCTTTTTATATAACCTGGCAGGAATGCTGCTTTTCAGAATGCAATGTTATAAGGCTTTTTTTTTTTTCAGTCCAAAAATAAATATTCAACTAAATGTTGCCTCTCTAAGTGTGGCTCTCCCACTACAGAGATGCGATTCCAGTTTGTTTGGGCTTTTGCTTTACTGTCACTGGTTTGGCTGGCTAGACGTACCAGGGAACATGCAGCCCTTCTGAGATTGCCTATTTACGTTCGTGACTTTCTTAAAAGCCACACCTAGAAAAAGAGAGTTAGAAGAGATCTGGTGATTAGGGAAGGCGTGACTAATACAGATGTTTCTGCTGCTCCCCACGGAGCCTCCCTTCTTCCAGTACTCACTGTTCTTTGGTGCCCAGCGCCGAAGGTTTGAACTCTTCCTCCTCGCCGCCGCTCATTGCCGGAGAAGATGCAGCGCACGTCCAAGGTTAGCCTCTTTATGCCGCAGGAGGACTCTCTTCTACCGCTTCTTTCGACCTCTTCCGGTGGGTGACGGCAGGGGCACAAATAGCAGCAGCTGTTTCCGCGGTTACAGTTGCAGTCGTACGAAAAAAAGATGAGTTGCGTCCACACCTGCCGCCATTCTGAACAGAAGGAGTTGGTTGTCCTTTGGAACAAACGAGGGGCTATTTCCTACAGGGACTAGAGGAGAACACCCGCCCACCCCTACCCAATTATGACAATTAGGAAAGAGCCGAGATCCATATGTTCTCTGTACAAGTAGCAATGATGCTGCTTTGATTACTGGCTCTATATTCCAGTTTCAGACGCTTTTGACAGCGTTGATCCCCTCGGACTTGCGTTTGCCAGTTGCGAACTACATTTCCCAGAAAGCCGCACGCGCCGCCCGGAAATCGAGGCGCGAGGCGAGCCGGGGAGGTGCGGGTGTGGTGGCTTGTGGGATCGTCGTCGTCGGAGGTGGTGGGGGTCCATCATGGCGGCTTCCATTTCGGGCTATACGTTCAGTTCTGTCTGTTACTACAGCGCCAATAGCAGCGCCGATCACGTAAGTATTTTCGTCTGCCAGCGATTTTATCCTCCTCGACTGGGGAAGAGAGAAATTCCCCCCTTTCTGGACGGAGGGAAGGCGCGAGAAAGGGAGCGATCTGCAAGAGGAAATCAGTGTGAGAAAAAGGGAGCGAAAGGTGGAGGAATGGACGGCGAGCCCTGAGGAACCGAGGTGGTGGTGGGGGTAGGAGGAAGAAGGGAGGACACGCGGAAGTAGGGCCGTCGAAAGGGAAAGTGGCTGGAGGGGTGTTTGGAAAGGACCAGGTATTTGGGGGTGGGGTCGCGGAGAGGAGCAGAGCGGAGGTTGCCAATACGGGCCGGCGCTCTCGGTAATGGGGCCACCTGTGGAGCCTTCGGGTGGGGACAGCTGGTAGGGAGGCAGGCTAGTGTAAGCAGGTCCGTGTAATCGACGTTGTGGACAGCATAGGAGTTGCTAGCTCAGCAGGTTTGTATGTGAGAAAGTAGTTCTTACAGCTGCAATATCACTTCAGGTTTGGAAAAGCCCGTTTTCATCAGAGAGAAGGTAGAAACCTAGAAATGACAGTTGGGTTGTATACCTTGATTAATTATGCTTGTATGATAAGGTAGATGTCCCTGTGTGTGTTAGTATGGATGTGTGCTTTAAAACTTAACTGTGAGCATAGACCTGTTGTGGTCAGATGGTGTACTCTTTATGCTTGGGTCCAGCTGGGGCTATTTTCAGGATACTTACTATCTGTGGGATTCGAAGCATTCCAGGTTAGTGAGCGTATTCACTCCATACTAGACTGTTTCAGACAATGCTTGCATTTTTAAAAATATCCTGATACTTTCCATTGTTTTTAAGTGATTCCATTTCTGTTATTAATTGATATCAGAGTTTGTTGTAAGAGTGAGAGTTGTGATAAAAAAACTTGGAGAAATGTGGAAACAGATCAGTAGACCTTTATGTTGGTATTATAACTGCATTTCTTTTAATACCACAGTGAAAGATAATTCAGTATTTTTGCATATATTTTTATGCATATATTCATGAATATATTTTTGCATATATTCATATATAAGGGCAAGCTTTGGATTTTTCTGAATTTCTAATCAAAATTGCTGCCTGAACATATTTCAGTTATATTTGAATCAAAGTAAAATTCTCCAGAAAGAACCAAATCTTCCTTAGGTTTTGATAGTTTTCCAGAATAGATACAGAGAAAGAGATTTATTGCAAAAATTGCCAGATTTTTGCAAGTATGGAAAACTCTAGAGTGGGAAGATGGGTAATTTTGTTACTGATAATTCCAACTTATATTTATATTGAAAGACTTTAGTAAGACTCATGAATACAAACTTTTAGGGAAAGATATGCAAGTAATACATTGCAGCACTATCCTAGACTCAGGATTCTTTACTAGCTTCTCTCTTTAGAACATTAACCATTTGTTGACTACTGTATAGAATTCTAAACAGTATAGCATTAGGTGCTTATTTAGAAAATGCTGGATGTTTTCATCCATCTACCACTGTGATACCCGAATTCGTCATCCATTCTTTGTCAACTGCAGTAAAACCTTAAAAATGTTTTACGTGTATCATAATTCTTTAACCAGTGTGCTTATTCTTTCTGATGTCTTCCATCTCACATGCTTAGAGAAATAATAACACTTCGTACTATTTTTATACAAACTGGAAAAATGGAACCAACTGTGCTCCCCAGCTCCCACCCAGCCACGCCCAAGTATGAAGATTCTTATTGTGCAGGAACTTTTGTCGCTGATTTTCTTAAATGAAGCAGTTGCTTCACTGTATAAATTTTCTATAATGTTCACAAAAAAAGCACGGGAAATTCTGGGACATCTCTTTCCACACACCAATGTTTGCTCTTTTTGCTATTCTTGAGGATTTTATTTCTAAATTGAGTTGATTCTCTGAACACCAATATATTTACTTGTAAATTTCATCACTTTTCATCAAAGAAATAGAAGTTCTATTTCAGCAGTGCTTGTTTTTAAAAAATACCAGATGTAACTTCGACTAGTATAGAAGTTCTTGCATTTGCAGGCTACATTCCCTGTTATTTTTGCCTGTCAGCTTGGGGTGATTGTAACAAATTGGACTAGTTTTTGAATTTAGGTTCAAATCAGTTGTTGTGACAGATGCACACATACAATTCTCTTTTCCTTGTATTACACTGAAAGTATTGTGGGAAGATGATAGCACTGGTTATAGTTCCTTTATCAGTGTCACACATTAATATGCAGCAAAATGACTGTCATGTAAATTTCCAGCTATCTTCTTACTTTGTTAAACAGGAACTTTAAAAGTAGGGAAAAAAGACAAAAATCAATATGCTTGGTTGCTAGGATATGTGCATACAAACTTCTGGTTTCTAAAATATTTGGTTTGACCTAATTATCTAAATTAAATCAACACATTTAAGATTATAACACATAACCTTTTGGGGAGAATGGTAAGAAGGCAAGTAATTTGTAACTAAAGAGATGACACTAGTACTGTTGCTTGAGGGATCACTACATCTAATCAAAATCTGCAGGGTAATGTTAATGGTAGGTTTGTATTATTTCTAAAGGCAGTCCCTTTATGTTACCATTTAATTACATGATTTATTTCTGCCTCAACCCAGAGGGAACTTAGGCGGGTTACAGATAATAAAAATACAAAACAAAAATAAGCATAATAAACAATACAAGTTATCTGATGCATTAGACTAATAAGGTGTTGATGGCTGTATAACTAATCCTCAAGGACATTCTGAAAAAGCAGTTTTTTGCCAGTTTCTAGAAGGCCATGAAAGTGGGGGC